GATAGTCACAGATTGTTATGATCCTTTCAGGCTCTGAAGAAGGCGATCCCGCCGAAACGTCAGCCGAATAAAGCATACTTAAAAACCTCGTGAAGAGTTCAAGAAAGCAGTAAACTCAATGATACAATTATGCCGAGGTTCATAGAAAGCCGTACATGGTACTTCAAAAATGCACTTTTAATAGGATTCGAAGTGTATCTGCGTCATCAATATGTCATAATTAAGAATTTCATATTTCATGTTTTGAAGATGAGATTAAAGAAGGGAAATAATTTGCAATGAAGAAATAATTGCGGATATACTGCGTCAGAGGCATTTCTGCTCGCCAACAATTAAAATAATTGGTTAGCAATCAAGTTCTTAAATCCGTACATTTCATTAGACAGTTATTTCTCAATGTTAGTAAAGGCAATAGAAGTTACCTACATCGAGAAATGACTGACTGATTTATTGGACGAACTCGGAAACATTACATTATGAGGCCTGCAGCTGCAGACTGGCAGACTACTTCATACTAGTGTAATCTGACCGAAAGATAGCTTTTTGTAATGACTTTCTGAATATGTTCCGTCACTTTTAGGGCAACCCCAATCCAACAAATACGCTCAGGCCAAAATTTTCTTTGCAATTCTCAAAACAGTTGTCCTACCGATTTCCAAAATGGCTTTCACTTAAGGATGGGGAGCGATTTACGTTCAATGAGAGACTCAAAATGTATCCAAGGAGATGCCATTTCAGCCATTGAATAACCCCAAAGAGAAATATGACGCTAAAACGGATGGATGTGATGGTTAATGAATGGGACGTGTTCTGGCAACTGGTTTAACTGGTAACGAAAAATCAATGCGTCATCTTATCAGATATAATGGTCCCGCTATGGTTCTGGCCATATATTTTGACGAAAGTATCATGGTGCGAGAGCGATGAATTTTTATGGGTCCAGCCTTCATCAATCTCGATATTTCAAACCTGAATAGTGGGCCCTCATCAAGATAGGGGGATACGCCCACCGATTCGACTTCCATTCTGAATCGTGGTGGAATATTGAATGCCTATGTATTCTGTGCAATGACTTGCGGTGGCCAAACAATGTATAGCTTTCCCTTGCTGCTTTTATCCTCCCTGACGAATCTTGTACCAACTAACCGAGCTCGGTGGGGATGGAGGGGTTGGTTGGCCTAGACGGATATCAATCCGTGATTCGAACCACCACCATGCGTTTGTGATAGTGCGTCGCTTGCCACTACACCACCTCCGTCCTTATTGTAATGGTAAAAACTAATAGTGAAAAATCATTGGAACAATCGCTGAATACATATTTAGCTGTTTATAAAACGCACGCTCGACTTTGAACTAATGATGGAAGTTATGTGAAAATCGTTTCGGAGTTTAATGATAAATAAAAAGCTCAAACTCATATGCCCATGTTCAAAATGTAAGAAGCACTTTCCATTTCGATCAGAGTAGTAATGAGCAAAAGTAAGCCTCTACACTCCCCCTAGCTTAGGCTTAATCTCTATGAGATGGACCTTTTCTTCGACCTCATTTAATCCTAACTAGCTGAAACGCCGTAGTGCGCATGTGGCCTTCATAATGAATTGTAAATCCCTTGACATCAGCTTCGATATAAATTCTTTGATAACATTTCTGAGACTGAAACTGGCAGGATGGAAAGCAGAGTGAGTTGAACTTAGTGAATTGTGGAAGCCAATAGTGAGGACTGTTAACACAATCACTGCCATCATCAATACTGCCCCAGATGCGGCTAATCCCCTCCCCCTTTCCCGTTGCAGAGACAAGCGCAGTTCAGCCTAACATTCGGCTCTTGTTGGTGCCATTTCGACAATCTTTCCTCACTCCCATTCCTTGGGTTTCTTGCCGAGCGCTCCTCGCTTATACTGCACTCTAAACGAACACTTCAGAGCAAAGTATCTGGATCCGGCTTGCGCCTTTCGAAGCAATGTCGTCTTTCGCTGGCACTGACCTTTGAAGTGGAAGACAATGCTAGCATAGCGCTTCATTCGGGATTCCAAAAGCCTATAGGCTCACCTACGGACGTTAGGCAATAGAACTCATTCGGCTGTCCCCATCAAGGCAATTGTAGGACCAAACCAATGGGAGGTCCAGGTCGTGGTTCTACTTGATACGTAAACTATGAAAGCTGAAGCCCAGTTCATAAGTCAAAATGTCACATGAGCAGTCCACTTCCATATTGTTACCGTAGCTATTCTATCGTCTTCAGCTTCCCTCAAGACGTCACCCACGCACGTAAGTTTACAA